TAAACAGCCTTGGCACTAATGCACACTGAAAGACTAGCCAGGCCTTGCGATGAATAAGAACTGCGCGACGCATAAGCACGACGTGATTTTCGACATCATTAAATTCTTTTTATTTGCTTTTCATATTTATCGACATTAACTGCACCAATTTACTTAATTACCGCAAAACTACTTTAAATCGTTTATGTAGAAATGTTATTATTTAAAAATGTTTTGGAATGTTTCGTTTTTTAAAATGTAAAAACATTTGTTAATTTTCTCGACGTTTGTCACGATTTGTCTATACTAAACGAATAAAAAACATTATAACTTAAATTTAAAAAAGATTATAAAATATGCTAATATTTGATTTTTTTTTTTCTTAAATATGTTATTTAAAGTTTTTTAAATAATTATTTTTTCTTTTTAAAAAGTCAGCGAGTAATAAACTGGAAATTTTAATATTGTACGATTAAAAACTGTGCAATAGCTAATATTTTTACAAGCGATTTTATATAATATTTATTTATTTTTATTTATTTTCAAAAAGCGGTTGATAGGCACAATCACTCGTATTAATAAAAAACTTAAATGAACATTTTGAATAATTTTTAATGTTAACAAGGAATTTTATTTCTAGTAAAATAAAATGTTAGAATAAAAATCTTATAGGTATAAAAAAAATATTTCAGCGAAAAAATTATTCTTAAAAATTATTCTTAAAAATTATTCGAAAAACTATTGACGTTCTATTTTTCAGCAGCTGTTCTTGAGCACGCTCCGTTGAGTTTCGGTAACTTTTAACATAAAAGCGATCGTTATTATTTAAGTAATTTTTTTGAGTTACTTTTTACAAAAATTTTAATAACTGTACTTTTTTATTGAATCAAGTAGAATACGTTTTAATATTAATCCTTTTTTATTTTTTTATTTGCCCTCACCAATTTTTAAAATGTTTCCTCGAAATTACTCTTAAATACTTTTAATAAGTCTAACAGTTAATAAATATTTTTAAATCTATGGAATAATTTTAAAACCTAACAAACCCCCGTAAAATAATTATTTAAGTTTAAAATCTAAAACTAAAAGAAAGTATTTTTGTTCAGTTTTATCGACATTTTTGCTATTGCTGAATAATTTTAATTAAATTTTAGCTTAAAAGATTTAAACTTTTTTTTTAATTTTTGAATTTTTTCTACTTGTAAATAATGAGCATATTTGATTTTTTTAAATTCAAACTTTTATTTCAACTGCGTGCGGTTTTTAAAATTAAAAAATTAAAACTTTATTAAATGTTAAAATAATCGTAAATTACTTCATTAAAATTCCGCTCAAAATTATCTTTAAATATACTCAAACAAAAAATGTTTTGCTCGACGCAAATAGCCCTAGCTACACGCAAAATCGTTCTTGGACGACGTAAAATTCACATCGCCCGACGCTTTATCGCAAGGCCTGACTAGCTGCAACAGAGTTCCTGTGGACAAGAGAAATGTTGTGATGGAGCTGCTGATAGAAATTCATAAAGTGTTTATGCTTCCATTGCACATCAAAATAGGCCTCATCAAGCTATTTACCACTACTCTTGGCAAGGAGTTGACACCTTTTAAGTACCTTTATGATTTTTTTTTTCAAATCTGTTGAAGGCCAAGTTTAGAGTATCTTCATCATATTACAGATCAAGATTTTTAATTAATAAATAATGTCATAAATATTATAAATATATATTATAAATAGTAATAAATAATCCTTGCTAATAGTTTTTATAAATTTTTAGTATTTTATTTGTTTCCTATATTTAAATATTAAGTTGATCTTGTTTACAAAAAAATTGAATATGACTTAATGCATCTTGTTGCAAGGTGTTCCAATTATAAGATAAACTATTTGCAAAAAATTTTTCTGTTTGGTTTTTTTATTCTTTGAACCTTTGTTTGCTATCGCTCTTCAATTTCTTTCAAAATTCTTCTCATCAAGCTCTTTGACTTCAAACTTGATAATTTCAATAAGAGCAAGGAAGCTAACTCAGAAAAGTAAGTGATGCAGATATTTTGGTGTTCGAACATTGCTGTTAAGAAAATTACAATGAAACATAATGGAGGACTACATTTACATAAATACATGATGGAGGACTACATTTACATGAAAACATGATAAATGACTACATTTACATGAACACATGATGGAGGAATTTATTTACATGAAAACACATGATGGAGGACTACATTTACATGAAAACATGATGAAAGACTAAATTTACTTGAAAACATGATGGACGACTACATTTACATGAAAACATGATGGAGGACTACATTTACATGAACACATGATGGAGGACTTCTTTTACATGAAAACATGATGGAGGACTACATTTACATGAAAACATGATGGAGGACTACATTTACATAAAAACATGATAGAGGACATTTTGAGGCAGCTTTATGAAAATGGTTTACAGTGTGATTGCTAACCTAGAAAATGTGTTCATTTATAAAGTTTTAATGTGACTTTTTACTTTTTTTCTCTTTAATATGGAGTTGTTATTTCTCATCAAACCAAATAAAATAAATTATATAATTTTTCTGTCTCAATAAAACCAAATTTCTTTGTGTTGTGGTTGTAAAAAAACTATGTACTTGATGTAGTTGTTTTTTCACAGTCTTTAGCTGTAAGCAATCGAAATATAACACTTGGAATTTAAAGACAAAATTTGTGTTTTTATTTTATGCTTTATTAAATGTTTATTTTTTATTGCAACCATGGTGATTTTAATGTTTATTTTTATGTTGCTTTAAATGTTTAATCAAGTAAAAGTTTTGTTTCATTATTGTCAATACAGTAAATTTTTTTTTCTTATTTATTTGGGGAACTAATCATTCTTAAATTATCTATTATAATGGCTTATAATATCTATTATAATGGCTTATAATATCTATTATAATGGCTTATAATATCTATTATAATGGCTTATATCAATTATAATGGCTCATAATATCTATTATAATGGCTTATAGTATCTATTATAATAGCTTATAATATCTAATATAATGGCTTGTAATATCTATTATAATGGCTTATAATATCTATTATAATGGCTTATAATATCTATTATAATGACTTATAATATCTATTATAATGGCTAATAATATCTATTATAATGGCTCATATCTATTATAATGGCTCATAATATCTATTATAATGGCTTATAGTATCTATTATAATGGCTAATTATATCTATCATAATGGCTTATAATATCTATTATTATGGTTTATATCTATTGTAATGGCTTTTAGGCATTTTAAATTATTAGTGAATACTCAGCTTTACTATTGTTAACAAGGTCTTTGGTTTTTAATTAACAAACTGGTAATATTATATTTTAAGTCCAACAATTCTCTGACAATTGATTTTGATCCTTTTTTTTTTACTGATGATTTTTAAGTTAACAGAATTATTCATCTTGTATCATTAACAGAAAGGTTTTATCATGTATTAGATAGAAGTGGTAAGCCAAGAGCTATTATCTTTTGCAAACTTTTGTTTATTTATTTAGTTTTTTCTTTGTACATCAACGTATTGGAATTTTTTTCTGTTTTCATGTTATCCTGACTCAAACATATTTCAAGTCTTCTATCATTATACCATATAATTTACACCTTTTCAAATCTTCTTGATTTTATTTCTTCTAAATTTCATTTTCTGGCTATTCAACTTTTTTTTTTCTTTTTTTTTTACTCCCAATTTAAACATTATTCATATTTAAACATGTGTTTTTTCCACATTCATTAGTGTTGTGAAGTTTTCTCCATTATCAAGTGCAAAATCATTTAAACATGAAAAGATGCAAATCATTTAAACATGGAAAGATGCAAATAATTTAAACATAAAAAAATCATAAGCAAACTAAGCTGTTAAATCTATTGAACTTTGATATTTAGTTTTCTTTTTTTACTCTTGACATAATGGCTACCTGCAGTATTTTCGAAAATGAACTTTTATATATTAAACAGAAATGGTAAGCAAGCAATATTCTGTAATTGCTTAAATAATTATAATGACCAGTAATTTTTTAATGATTGTTATTTAATTTGATTAATAAACACTAAAAGTTCAGAAAACTTAGAGTGCAGGAAATTAATATAAGAATAGACACAAAAATTTCAGAAAAATTAAAGTGCAATTAAATAAATGGTTCATTATCTAACTGGTAATAATTCAATAAATGAGTCAACTGAATAAAAAAATCAATAAAAAAACAACAACAAAATAACCAAATTTATAAAATAAATGTTTTTAATACATTTATGTTAATAATTTAGAATTATAGTTCAAACTTATAGTATAAATCCAAATGCAGTCAATCTTGTGCATTCAAGTCAATCTTGTGCATTCAAGTCAATCTTGTGCATTACAGTCAATCTTGTGCATTAAAGTCAACCTTGTGCATTACAGTCAATCTTGTGCATTGCATTCAATCTTGTGCATTGCAGTCAATCTTGTGCATTGCATTTAATCTTGTGCTTTGTAGTCAATCTTGTGCCTTGCAGTCAATCTTGTGAATTGCATTCAATCTTGTGCATTGCAGTCAATCTTTTGCATTGCAGTCAATCTTGTGCATTGTTGTCAATCTTGTGCAACTCTTTTATGTCAAATTATTTTTTAAATAATTTATTTGCTGTGTCGCAGTGTGTTTATCATCTAAAGTGATGTATAAAATTTTAATGGAGTTTCTAAGGAAATTTCTAAGTCAATTAAAATTTTTTTTAATGTGGTAAAGACATTGTTCTTGAAGATCTTTTTAAGATGTGCTTGAATAAAATTTAAATTGAAATTTTAATTGGACAAAAATTTGACTTTAAATAGGAGTCAAAAAAGTAAAATTTTTTGTTGAATTAAATTCTCAGTTATTTTTATGTAATATCAGTATTACCTCATTATTTTATATTATTTTAAAAATGAGACTTTAACTACATTTGTTATTACCATTTTAAATTAAAATATAAAAAGCTTTTTTTTACAGAAATGGTTCACCTTATAACCATGGAAACGTAGTTTCAAATGGTAGTTTTAGCAAAGTTTTGTTTCCATCGTTGCGTTTAGGATGGTTAGAATGTTCCCATTGGATCGCAAACGAATTAGAGCAAAGGTTGTTTATTGAATTGTTTGAATATATTTTTTTAATTTAAATAATATAATATTATATAATGTTACTATATTTTTTAATTTATTATTATCAGTAGTTCAATTTATTGTAATTTGCCAATTTATTTTTATTAATCTGTTTTTCAAACTTTTATTATACATTCTAATATTTCAATATAATACAAGTTGATAAAAATTAATGTAATATTAACTTAAATTTAGGGGAGACTTTATAAGTGGAGGAGGTTGTCAAACATTTAATCAACAGTTGTGTGTTCATATTCTCAGCCATCCTTCTTTAAATCAATTACTTAATGATGTAAAACTGTGTTATAAGGTATAGTTGTTATTTTAGTATTAAATTATATTTGTGTATTCTACAATAGAGTGCTCAATGTTCTTAAAGAACAGAGCAATAATAAATTAGTAAAAATTCTTATCTAAACACTCATCTTTTTCTTCAACAACTTGTTTAAATTATATAAAAATAGTCATTATTTTTTAAAAAACATCAGGAAAAAAAATTTCATTAAATTTTTTTGTAAAAATATATAATTTTATTCTTAGTTCAAAGTATAATTTTTTAGGCAGTGAAATTTAAAGTAATCATTTTTGGAGTGTTAAAACCTCACTGATAGAGAATTATTTAAACAAGTTATTTTGTAATTGAAGTTTTGCATGTGAATATAGTTTTAGAAATTTGATTTTTAATTTTGTTTTTAAATTTGTTTTTTAATTTTGTTTTTAAACTTGTTTTTTAATAACTTGTAACAATTTAATATTAGACTGATATTTTTCAAATTCAATTTTAATTACCATTGATATCATCAAGTATTAAAGTAAAAATCAAAGAATGGTCACAAACTCAGCATAGTTTGGTTACCAACTTGTTTAAGCAAAGTAAAACATTTAGATTGATAAATAAAGTGACTTGAATGCCATTATGAACTATCAGCACTCTGATTAAAAAGTATAAAATATTTTGATATGTGCCAAGATTCTGAGCTAAGTGTAAAACAACATCCAGTTGACTAATTGTCAAGATAGTGCAAAAAAAAATTTTTTGTCAGTTTTTATCAATTTTTATCAGCACCAAAAACGTCAAGCATTCTTGAAAAAGAATTTAGAATATAAGCGAGTCCATTTACTATTGAAATCTATTAAAAGAAGGTGGATTTAAAGCAAGAGTTCCACACAAGAAACCATCCCTTTCGAAAATCCATTAAACCGAAGACTTGCATTTTCTAAAAAATATGTAAATATTCCGGTATCATTCTGGAAGAAATTTTTGTGAACTGGCAAGTCAAAATTTAATCTTATGAAATCCGATGGAGCTCAAAAAGTATGGAGAAAAACATTAACGCTTAGTTGCATTGGAGGAGTGGTAAAATTTAATGGAGTCAATGTTATGGTCTTGGGATCGATATTTAGGAACAGAAAGAATAGGAAAGCTGGAGTTTATTAATGAAGTTATGGACTTTGAGATTTATGTCAATATTTTCAATAAAAATCTTCTGGCCTCAACTAAAAAACTGCGATTGAGAAAACAACTTCCAACAAGACAACAACTTCCAACAAGACAACAACCCAAAGCATACATCAAAGAAAGCAAACAGTTTTAATATTTAAAAGCAGGTTGAGTTACTTGAATGGCCAGCTCAAAGTCTAGATCTTAATCCAATTGAACACCTGTGGGCTATTATGGACCAAAAAAGTATGACACAATGTCTAATTAGAAAAGAAGAGTTAAAGATCATGCTCCAAGAAGCTTGTGCTTAAATCAATTCATGCACAACAAAAAAATTAGTTTTATCAATGCAAAATTGATTTGCAGAAGTCATAAAATCTCAAGGCGGTCCATCTAAAATTAAAAAAAAAATTAATTACTTGAAGAAACATTTAATCTTTTTAATTTTGTTTAGTTACTTATTTAATGTTAAAAAGTTGCATAGTTTGAATGTACCGTTGACAACTGGGGTTGATATTTGACTGGGCCCAGGGCCGGGTTTGATAAAATATAGCCGGGGCCGGGTTTGTGACCGAGACTGCATAAACATTTATACATCCTAAATATTTATTCAAAATTTATGTTATATTTTGTATATATATCTATATATAAACATTATTATGATCAACATGATCATCAGAATCATCATTACCATCATTATTGTCATCATCATCATCATCATCATCATCAGTTTTATCATCGTCGTCATCATTATCATCATCTTCTCTTTTGTCAAATACTACACCATATAAATACTAAGTTTATTTAAATATGAAAGGATATATGTCAGCATATAATTAAAAAGCAAAAATATATGTTTATGTCCATAACAGAAGCTTTTGTTCCTTCTGGACTAAAAGTTTGGAAGCTTTTTCCTACTCTTCAATTTAAAGTCAAACCTCATTCTACTCCATATTTTTCACCATTTTGAGCAGTTGCTTTATTGATTATTTATTTCATCTTTTTTACAAAAACATCTTTCTTAAGAACAAATGTCCTTTTATTATTCCAAGAAATCAATGTTAAAGGTCCTGTCTGATGTTAAGCTATGTTATTTTCAGTTTACTAAATCTCTTATGATTTAAAACCTAACATCTCAGATGTTAGGTTCTAGAGACTTTTGGTTAATCTTCAAAAATGCATTAACTAAAATAATTCTAACATTTAATCTTAATAATTATGTAATTTGTTATGGTATTTAATTTTTAAAAGTGCTAAATAAGTGGTTCCAATTTTTCGAATATCTTGTAGTACCCTTAAATCTTTGCTCCTGTATTGTTTCTTATCTACAATATCAATTTTCATAAAAAAATTTCACATCTAAAGTTCTATTTGTTGGCGACTCAATTTTATATTCTTGTCTTGACAAAAAATCTTCAATTTTAGATTGCTTAGAACAAGCAGCTGATTTTTAATTTGATCTCTATTGAACAGCCTAAGGCTTGCTGTGACTTATGGATTTAAATTCTGGACTTAAAATTTGCAATTTTTGTTAGACAACAATACTCATTTATTTACTGCAAAAAAATATTGCAATAATGTTGGTATTCAGCTTTAGGGAGGTGAATTCATATGAAAAAAAAAATAATAATAATAATAATTTAGACCTGCTTTATCTGCCAAGCTTTAGCCACTCTCCAATTGTTGTAAAGTTGTATTTCTTTCTTTTTCCTATAAATGCAATCAAGGTCAATGCTCAAACAAGCTATTATCTCTATTACAATAAACCAAAACTCATTCTTGTTATTCAACAAATTGCATCCTTTTACTGTATCTGTCCCTTCATGCTATAAAATCTTTTAATAATCCAGCTATTTTTATTGCACATCAAAAGAGCCTTATAACTATTAGCCATCTTCATGTTTTTCTTTCATATACAACCTACAACTTTTCAAGTCTTTAGTTAACCATTTCCTAGTATTTTTATTTATTCTATATTTTAAAGTAACTCATAACTTAATAGTGGTTGCTTGCAGTCTTGTCAGAAGTAAATAAGAGTTTGAAAATATATAAATGTATACCAGTATTTAATAAATAGTAAATGTAAGCATAAAATTGTAATATATAAAGTATTATAATTTTTTTTCCATCCATGGCTATCAAACTCTGCCAAATCTTATAGTTTTGCAGGGGCCGGATTTGAAAAAAGTCTCATTTTTAGTCAGGGCTGGGGCCCCGGTCACTTACTACCATTAAATTTTTAGCGATTTAAGTTAATTATTGTAATTTATTTTTTTGTTAAATTCTTAATTAAATTTGCTTTCAAAGTAAATCTTACTTTTTTTATTAAAACTATTCTTTCTGAAAAAACATGACAAAGTTTTTTTTCACAATAAAATGTTTAAAACGCTGATGTCACAGGTCCAGGGGGAAATTTAATTACATAAATTTGAATTTATTATCCTAGTTGTTTATTATTCCCCAATATTTGAGTAAAAATCCATGGTATCATAGTTTTTAAAAAAAAATATTTTTATTTGTATTTTGTATTTTGAATTAAAAAAATTACAATATATGATTATATACTCACGGCATTTATGTTACTAACAAAAAATTATAACTAATTGTCCAGAATAATTACTTTTAATTTTTTTTTTTTGTATTTTGACTGAGGTAAGCGAGCCATGAATTAAAGCTGGATACTAAACAATGAAAATCTAGTTGAAAATCACTAGAGTATTCGAAACTTAAGAAGCATGAGGGGGATCCGCTGCAGATTTAGTACAGCAACAAGAGTTTAAAGTTTATCTGAACAGAATATCTTGGGCTGGTATTTCTGGTCTTAGAAATACAATTAAAAATGACAAAAAAAGATCTAATTCTCACAAGCTTGAGGATTTGGAGTTTCTGGAGGACCAAGAAGGGGAAAGAAGATTTATGCTTGGATCAGAAGATAAAAAGTACAGAAACAAAATATGTATTTCTTTAAAACCTAAAAACAAAAAAAAGTTTGGAAGGCTAAGTAACTTACTTACAATTTGCAAGCCACTTTAAAAGATTTAAAATAAAAACAGCTAAGCCAAAATAACTCACTATTCACTCACTATTTCAGTTTCTCATATAATTAAATTAAAATTATTAATTAAATTAAACTACTAATTTTAATTCTGGAGAGTTTGAAAGAAAACCTTTCCAACAAAAAGTCACTACTGAAATTCCTAAAGATGTTTTCGCTGGTTGTGTAGTTTGTATGGCTACAATCATTGATATTGTATAAAGTGTTTTGTATAAAGTTACAGGTGCAATTCTAACTTAATTAGGAACTGATCTGACAGATTTCAAATGTAGCCAGTCTACAGCAGCTAGGAAAATGAAATATGCCAATAGTAATATATGCATAGTATCAAAAGAAGATGTTCAACAAGCAATGAATGAATCCCCATAACAATTTATATTGCATTTATAGTAAAACATTAATTGAACTAAACAAAGAAAAAATAAATAAAACTGATAGACTGGCTGTACTTATAAATATTGAAGGTGAGGCACGTCTGCTTGTAGTACCTCCTTTAGCGTCATCCTCTAGTGAAGATCAGTGCAATGGTGTAATGGACCTTCTTAAAGAATACAACCTTGAAACCAAAGTAGGAGGAATATATTTTGATACTACAAGTAACACTGAAAGGTTCTTTAATAAGAATATCTAACTTTATAGGCGAATATCTTTTACTTATTAGATGCAGACATCATTTATGTGAATTAAGAATAGGTCATTTTTGTAAATCAGTTTCAGATGAAAAATCCACAGGACCTAATAATCATATGTTTAAAAAGTTAAAAACTGTTTTTGAATGTCCTCATTTTAATTATAATCAAACAGAACTAATAAA